TATGTAAATTAGCTCATTAAGTAATTTGCATAAAATGTCACAGATGAAGCAGAATGCTGCTTTCACTCTTCCTCAAAGGAAATTGGATTTATAAAGCAGAGCTATCTACCTGACAGTGCTTTTATTATGCTTTCCAAGAGCAAGATTTGTACTCTAATATCATCTCATAATTAGAATTCATTTTCAGACTGTATATTTTTAAAATTACTTTACTTGAGTAATTTTCACATCATGGTTACAAAATTAGGTCAAGACAAGCAGAAATAATTTCACAGCACAATAATGTTTTTGCTCTCACATGATCTATGTACCTAATAATCATAGGGTGATTCATTGGCTACTTTTAGAAGAAATACCATTAAGTGTGTCAGTGCTTTGCACCAAAGCAAATTTATTAAAAAAAATCTGCGTTTGGTGGTTTTGCTGTGTGGGCAAAAGATATTGTGCTGCTTCTAGAAGCACAGCAAATAGGGATCACCAAAACAAGATACAGAGGAGAAAAAGAAAATGAATGACAGTAATTTGTGGCTGGGGAAAGAGCTCTTATGAAAGACAAGCGCTTCGGAGTCATGCAAATATGGATGTGAAGGGTGTCATAAACTCAGGAGTTGTACATTTTAAATACAGCGGAGGATCAACCTTACCGATATTCTAATCTGGGAAATGTGGGATAGGTCTGAGGAACTCTCACTTTTAAAATTCGTTTCTAGACAACCCCATCCCGTGTATTTATTTATTTTAAAGATGAAACTTAATCTGTGAAAATTGAAAAATAATTTTCATCTCCATTACCTCATCCTGTTTTCAAAATTTTTTTACTAGAAAAGGTTTTAGGCCTAATAGTACATCTCTCTGTGTGTATATATGTACACACACATTTCTGTTTTTTTGCAAAATAAACTGTGGTAAACGGAGTATTCTGAAAATAAATAAACAACTTTTGTCATATTATCCTGCACAACTGGTGCTTGTGTAGAATGCTTGATTAAAGACAGCAGTGCAGAATGTTTTTTCAAAGTTAAAGCCTTTGCTTGTCTTTTACATTTTTTTTATTTGAGAAATTTTCCTTGTGAAGCCTAGGGAGCTGCGTACTGACAGAAAGGGGGACATAAAACTTAGTGTAGAATCATTTGAGAATAACTCGTTCCCACCGTTTATAATGGCCTGGGGAGCACTGTTCTAAAATGACACAGAATAATAACTCTCCTTATTAATTAGAAAAAAAAAAAGATAAAGATTCTTACGTAGGTATTCTCATGATGTATATCCTTGCCTAGAACAAATCAATATCATTTTTTTAGCAAATAAATACCATAAGAAGATAGGAGATGTACCATGAACAGTATCAATATCTTGCCAAAAGGCAGTATTAAACCATGAGGAATGAGCGAAAATAAACTCCAAAGAAGAATAAACGCAACATGAAGATGACAAAATACTGCATTAGCTCTAGTCAACTTTATGCTGGAAATCAAAATAGTGGGCTTTCTTGTCTGTGTTTTACATTCATATAGGAATGGCTGGTGATAGAACAGTGATATTGGAAGTTGAGGCAAACTGATGTCTTTGTTTTGTGGGGCACTTTGATATTTGCATTTGCAGGAATAAGCAATTACATATAGAATCCTAAATGAGGACCCAGGAATACTCAGTATACCAACAACTGTCAAATAGTGCCTAGATTTGGACAATTATACATAGGCAAAATACAGGTACAGCCCTGGGGCTATGTTCAGGAAGGATTTGGAACAAATTATGTGAAACCTACTGATGATGATGATGATGATGCCTTTCTCTGTTGGTCATCTGTGCTACATCTGTGCAATATTTGCCACTTTACAGTCACATCTGCTGAGTCGGTGGCAGAAGCCCCATTAATCAAAGAAGGTGTTTGATTTAATCACTAGTAGTTCATATATATGGATGGTCCTGAAAGCCAGGGACACGCATATGTTCTAATTCCAGGAGGTGGAAAAGTCTGAGAACCTCCTAAGTGTTGTACTACTTTGAAATCAATTTTAAAGCATGATTAAAGATGGCTTGATAAATCTGGCATTCTTTTATGCTGTTTGTTGTGTACAACAATCAATTTAAATTGATGTTTAGTACTGATAGTAGTTCTCTCTGGGCATGTCCTCTGTGCTTTAAAACGCTTCCATTCAAATCAGGTTGTGCAAAGGACTTTAGAAGCCTTTAGGAAAGTTGGATTTAGATGTCCTGATTTCCACAAGAGTAGATATAATACAAGAAAAGAATTGCTGTTTATTTATTGATCCCCTCAGTTATATCTCTTTTTTTTTTTTTTTACATCTTCTGACTAGCATATTTTTTTCTATATTTTTGATTCACCTTGCTATTTTTATTTTCTTGAAGGTGAGTCAGTGTTCTAAAAAATAATGATTAAATGCTCCTGTTGATAAAAATCAAAATGTATGTATATCTGTTTATGTATTTGATTTGATTTGCTTGCCCTTTGAGAATTAAGTGGAATGTCACTGAATTCTGAAGTGACAATTTTCTGAATTTAAAAATGTGACTAAATAATACAACAAAACATGGTGCTGGGGAAATGATTCTGCACCAAAAAATTAATAAATAATAGTAATTTTAATTCTTGCACCCAATTCAAAGTGGCAGGACTTTGCTGAAATTGGTTGTGTCAGGTTAACATAAAACTGTGCAGTGGTGGAATTGGGCCCATCCTGGGAACTTCTCAGCCTTGCTTGAGTTAAGTCTGTTTTCACAGATTGCTGCATTGCTGGTGTTAATCATGGAGCTGATGGGTCATTTCTGCCTGGAGTTCGTGACCTCCTACTCGCTCCTACCGTTCTGATACTCTTTAGGTCTTGCGGAATGATTCTTCTTGTCTTATGCATGATATGCCCGTGGTTTATACCTTGGTTTCAGGTAGTCTATATGAGACAGTCTTAAGTTTTGTAGTCACTATGCTGAAAAATTGCAGGGTTTCTACATGTAATTTTGTAAAGTTTCATCACTCCTTTCCGTGGCATTGTTTTTTTGGTATACATTACAGAGATAATAAACTGTGTAAGGTGTACAAAATGAAATTAAATATATTCGAAGGTTTGTAATAAGTAGCAGCAATTAAGGTTCTATAATGGACACGGAGGATAGAACAGTATTTAATTAGAAATTATTGAGTGAACCTCATTTACGTGACGTGCTGAAAGACACAAATAGCACTGATCATAAAATAGCCATCTCATCTCATATGTGAATTTACAAAATGTTGTATTTAACAGGCAGAAGCAAATGTAACTCTGGAACCTACATTCTTGCTTTTGCAACCTGACTGCCTTTAGCTGTAGTTTTTCGTGCCCATAAGCACGCGCGTCTTCATTACCTGCCTGCAGTCAGGGTTTCTCTCTGTGGCAGTAGAAGGTCCCTAGATAAAACACTCACACATGCCAGGAGGAAGCAGCCTGATACAAGGGCTCAGCATCCCGCCTTGGCACTGGAATGTTAAGCTTAGTTTTGCGATGGCATGAAGAAATAAAACTGGTCTGGAAACATCAATTTTCCATCCAGTGTAGAAATAAGGTGTTCAGTATTGCCTGTGGAGATGAAAAGGAGTCTGTAAGAGGGGGCTAAAGTGTGTGAGCTGCCTTGGTGATGATTTTTCACTGTCTAGTGTGCTTGAAGCAAGGGGTCCTGCATTAAAAAAAAATGCAATTAAATCTGCTAATCAAATCTCCAAGTAGAAAGACAGATATCTGGAAAAGCATATAATAACTTAGGTTAAAAGACCACTAGACAGGAGACAAATGAGGTTATTGGGTGCTTCGCATCCTTGAACAATTATAAAGTTGTCTGAATATAAAATATTAGGGCAGCAAATCTGGAGCAGAATGATTTGTGCTGTGCCAAGTTCAGTGCTTAGGGTCACCTGGTACCTCTCTAATTTCAGGCCTTTATAAATGGCTGATACTTGTATTTCCTGACTTGTCATGCTTTCCACATATATACAATCTTGATTCTTTTTTTGTTGTACAAGTCTTATTTACTCGTCACCACTGCCTGATGTAAGAGCGATATTGGTTGCTTACTTTAGGTGGATTTTTTTTTGACCACAACTTATAGCTCAAGACTGGAACGTCGAATTATTTTTCTGTAGTACAGTTTAATTAAAATCTATCCTGTGTAGTTTAGTATTACTTTTAAAGTGATTTTTTATTATTATTATCATGCATAAAATCATAGCACAGTGCTAGTCTGGGCAGTTATTCAAATCTCTGACCTTAGTTGCCTCCTTATATGAAGTGCAGCTGAACTAATTAGCAGTGCAGATACTTAAACCTGCAAGGTCTAATTTTTATGTTATTTTAAGGCTTTTTCACCAGGCTGACAGTATAAAGAAATTGCACTTAAGTTTGCTTTCACTAAAGACCTTTAATCAGAGAAAGACGTAATAGACTGTTCTCAGCTGCAACATGAATTGGGTTGTCAGGTATAAAGTGCTTTTACTGAAAAGAAGTTTTAGAGAGATTTCAGTCATGTTATTTGACAGTGAGAAAAAAGCCCACAGAAGAAATCTGGATAGGCAAGGTGTTAAAAAAGAAATGTCTAATACAATATATGTTTTGGTTAATATATTCCAGCTGAATATTAGATGAAAATCACCATGTTCTGGTTTAAAGGAGGCTTTCATTCAAATAGTGCTAAATGCAGATTATACATAGTAAGGGGCACTTTCATCTGAGACTGCAGGTAGAAGTGTATGAACTACAGCAATTTTTAATGTCTTTTTATGTTTTGTTTTAAAACAAAGAATAAAGGATGAAGTGTTTGCTTTTATTATGTTTATTGCCCAAATCCGAGATCTCTAGGTGCCAGCGGACCTGATGAATACTGTGCAAATGAGTATCCAGGTGTCTTGTTCTTTATCTCATGGATCAAGGAAATACGAACCTAAGTACGCAGAAGAAAATAAATGAATTGTACACCATTGACTTCAATGCTATTTTCTATTTATTTTGCAGTTTAACAATAATGCGCAGAACGTGAGTTGCTTTAATCATCTTGTCCAAGCTAATGTGAGGAACAAGAAGAAGCTGAAAGAAGCAGTCTATAAAATCTCTGCTAAAGGAATCACTGATTATAAGAAAGGCTTTAGCTACGCTTTCGAACAGCTGCTAAATGTGAGTATGCGGGTCGGCAGAGCGCAGTCCTAGACTTCTGATATCCACGTGGCCCCTGCATGCTCCTCCATCACCCTGGTAATCTGCTGAGGGACAAATAGGACAGTGACTTTGTTTAACAGGCAAATACATCCCTTGCAGATCCCCCCATCCAGCAGCCTGAGTTTGCTAAAATTTAGGAATAAATTTGTTTTTTAATATTGTACCATTTCACTTCATTCTGCTAATTATTCATTTTACATGTGATTCTCACATAGCTGTAGTAAGAAAGTGTTACATTAATTGCCATTTCAGTTACAGGATTTCCTGATGTACAGGATTCTCTAATGTTCCCAATGTTTGCCAATGTTCAATTAATCTGTAACTTTATAATAATCTTATTCCAAATTTCAGTGATAAATCATGGCTTGAACTGGATAGAGGAGGGCAAATAACTATTAGTTAATAGAAGGATATAGGGCTGCTGAGATCATTCTAATTCTTTGCTTCCTCTCTCATATATAAAATGATAAGCTTCATCAAAAATTAAATGCATTCACTCCATGTTTTAATTACATTGTACTTCTAGCCTTTACCCAAGCACCACTTTTCTGGTTAGTAATAATGTTTCATACTCCCCATAAATGTTGGGTTTATTAGTCATTTTTGGAGTAGTTTATATGTAGTAGCTTATAGTAGCTTAAAATAGCTTTCTCCATTTCACCTTCATAAAGATTGCAGATTGGATTCTCACCATAGTGTACATAAAGTTATACCAATTTACAGAAGCTAAGAATCTAGCTTAGTAAATATGGTTTGCACACATTTTTGTTTTTTTTTTTCTTTTTATTTCGATAATGTCTCTTAGAGGAGGTATCTTTACCTTTCTCCTTCAATCTGCCAGAGTCTGGCTGCTTCCCTGCCACTGGATATACACCCCAGACCTAGTGGTGGATATGCACTCTGGACCAAGAAATTTCCATGGAGAAAAAGAAAATACAGTGTTTTCAAAACATTTTCTTGCCAGATTAGTCTTTTGCCTGGAAGAGGGGTTTGGCGGAGAAATGATTGTGTGCCCTCTGCTGATGGCTGATGAAACTGCAAAGGGAATTTTAAGCAATGACTTTTTCCATATTTTCCCCCTTTTTGGTATCTATTCCCATCATGTGCAGTAGGAGCCAGGAAGATACAAGAAATTTTGCCAAACACAATTGGCTCCTCAGAGTGTTTCAAAAAAAATGCTGCCTGATATGCTGTTACATAAGAATAGATACCATAGGTTGTTCTCAGCATACTAGTTCAAGTGGGTATTCATAATCTGGATGCCATAATTTTAGCCCTTTTTTTTGTGTGTGTGTGTGTGTGTATTGATATATTAACTCAGTATGTCTTTGCAAATAGTGTTATTTTAGCTTCCATGATTCAGGAGGTTTTTTCCCATTCCCCTAAGCATCTTGAAAGCATCTGTTCTGAAATCACATAGTGGATTTTTGCCTTGCTTCACCTTTCTTAGTGGCATGAAACTGGCACTGAAAAATTCATTCTTAAATTCACATCCTGAAGTATAGCCCTGACCTGCTGCTCAAAGAATTAAAAGGTGTGGGACTCATGTAAAATGTGTAATTCCTTACTTACTTTAAAAAACAAAACAAGGCAAAATCAAGAATAAATAGATGACTTATTCAGTGCAAGTGAGAACTAAAGTGAGAACTAAGGGATAGTTCCAACCCTTTCTCTTTTGCGGTTTAAGCTAATAAGCCAGTTTGGATATTTTGTACTAGGAAATGCTCTTCTGCGGGGTCTGTTGTGAGAGGGCAGAGACATTTCTTGGCATGGTGGTGCAAGCTCTTTGAAAAAATGATGGATTTACTGCATCAGATTTTGCAAAATGTATTCAAGCCCTTAGCCAGTATCTCTCTATCACTATGGCTGTAGAGATGAAAAAATGTGCTGTAAAGTCCATCTTGCTTTACATTTGATCACTCATGAAGGACTCATCTGCTATAGATTCTTTCACCAGGACACAATCTGCGACATGCGACATGCAATTATCATCAAATTTGAAATACAGTTTAGATTCTAAAATCTTGGTGTGTTTTTTGTGACATCACTTTAGTGTCTAAGCAGTGCAGTGTAAGTAAAAGCCAACATATAAGGGCCAGAAGGTATGGAGAAGAAAATACTGCATTTTTCTGGTGCTATCTAAATATGTGCTGAGTGAGCCACTGGAAAAATCCCAGTTTAATCCATTATAACAAAGATTAGATTGCGTTCAAAGTTTATTTATAATAGCTGTCCTTTTAAAATCTATAAGAAAGTTGTATAAGACAAGTGGGCTTTGGTCCCTTCTATGTCATCACCTTTGTGTCCCTCTTGATTTTATTTCGGCCTATATATTAAATCACTAGTAATGTAGATGAGTTTATTTATGAAGTATCTCGCTCAACTTTTATTACTTTTTAATATCAAAAAGACTGCAACCCAAGGCAGTATATTGTAGGTTGTATTTCACAAGCAAAAGGTGGTCATAAATTATTTATTTCTAAATGAAACACAGAGTGCTGATGCAAGGGGAGAGAGTGTATTGACTTCAAGCTGTTTTATTTGTTGCATGTAAGAAAATCTTGAACTTGTTTTTTTCAAATGGTTAAATAAATATTCGGTTAATACTGAACCATAAATACAAAATCTCTCTTAAATATAAAGATTGCAGAGAAAGTTCCCTTTCTGAGAGTGATCTGAAGGTTGGAGCTGCTGCCCCCTGGGTGGTGCTTGGCCCCCTGGCTTGGCCCCCTGTCATCTTTCTGGTAATGGAAACACAAGGAATCAAATCAGAAAGTAGGATGTAAAGTAACTGTGGGAGGTGGGATCATCTCACCTGGTCACTCAAGTTGCTCCTTCTCTCAGATGATAAAGCTTCTTTTCAAAAGCAGGAGGGAATTAGGTACTTCACAAGCCTCCTTCTTGCAGGAAAAATAAAAACAACAGAGTAAGGATTTATTGGTCTGAGCTGATTTTAAAGAAAAATGGCAAAAACAGCAAATACAAAAACACCTCTAAGTTCACTGAGCTTTATAATTCTGTGAGTAAGAGTCCCACAGAAGAAAAGTGGAGGTGTTGCATGTGAATATTTGTTAGTTCTTTAGAGGGCCATTGGCCCTGAGTAACCACAGAGATAGTTAGGATGGGGAAGGGAAGATTAAAGCATTTGGATGGGCAGTTCTCTGCATTGGGCCAGATCTCTCATGTGTCATCTTTGGCTCTCAAGGAATGGAAAAACCTTTTTTTGTTGTTTGATTGGTTTGCGTTTTCATTCATTTCATGTAGTCATGAGCGAACAACATCTCTGTGACATGAAGGCAAAATACAGAATTGGAAAAACTGTCATGGAATTGTTGCTGGATGAAATCCTAGAAGACTTTGGAAATTTTGTCTTTGATCTCAGGAGAGCGGCAGTTTTACCTCTAATGTTAAAGTTGTAAGCAGGTTGATGTGGAAGGCATCAAATACATCCCTTGTTATTTTGAATAGGCTGAAATAAGAAGTGTTTCTCTTGGTATCTCCTACAGCACAGTGTCTCTAGAGCTAACTGCAATAAGATTATCATGTTGTTTACGGATGGTGGTGAAGAAAGAGCACAAGAAATTTTCCACAAATATAATGAAGACAAAAAGGTAAGTGATATGTGAAAGACTGTACACACACACACACAAAAAGAATATTTTAAGGTGGAAATAATAATATCTTTTAAAATCTCTTAGCATTGAACCTCAGGCCACTTAAAGCTTTGTCAATCTATAACATTTCTCTGAAAAGAAAAGAAAATATATTTAAAATTTTATACTTTGGGAAGTTGAACATTTATGGACTAGAAAAAGCTCCAGTAAGTTGCCGTTTGAGGTTAATTAAACATTTGCACATTTTAGCTAGGACTGGGATGGCTGAAATTTGTAATTCAGTAATTTTCCGTTACTGAAATTTGTTCTATAGGTCAACTAAAATTATGGGTTTCACACAAGGATTGCTGGATTTGTCACACAAACATTAGATTATTAGCTGTTTATTTATTTATTTATTTATTTATTTATGGATTTAATCAAACTTCCCATCTGATTTTTGCATATGCAAACATAGGGTATTTGTGTTTGCCTGTATATGGTATAAACTCCAGTTCTATGAATTGGCCCTTACTACCCTTCAGTGTAGGTAAATATGCTTGAAAGATTTATCACTTTTTAAGGGAAATTTAAATACGATCTCACTTTTTACTAAAACCGAGCCTTTAACTTTCCTACTGTTTGGGGATGTGCCTGTAGATGGCTTTTATTTTTTGCAAGCTAAAAGTTAGATCACAATTCGCCAGGATGCTAAAACCATTACTATGGGTGCTTATATGTAAAGCAGTGGAGACAATTCATTGGACACCTTAATGTACTTAAACTGATCCCTTTAAAAGGAGAACTAGAAACACAAGATGCAATTTCCATCTCCCCCAGTGACTCATTCCACGACCTTGGAAAACGGCTCCATGCCTGCCCTGTAGTGGTGCTCGGGGTGGAATGATGTGCCCGTGCTTAGTTAACCTTTGTGTCTGAGCTGGAAGCATTTTTTAAACTGACAATTAATTAATTAGATGGAAGACTTGAAAACATGGCAACTCAATGTACGACGCACACAGCTGTATGCTGAAATAATATGCAGAGATTTCGAATTTGAACTTGGTAGCGTTTATTATAGTGAGTGTCATCAGCTAAAGGAAAGCATGTATTCCTTATTATTTTCATTTAATTCCTGTGTTATGAGGAACGCTTAGTAAAATATCCAGTTGTAAGAAACACATTTTCAGTCTTAACAGCCCTATGCCTGACATTCAATTATTCAAGAAGGTACGATGGAGTAGGGATTTATTCATTTAACAAGATTATTTTTTTCCTATACTTTGCACTACCAAGAGTTGAGTTGTTTTTACGTGTCCTGTTGCTCCATGGCACACTCTTACTTTCCCCTTACTAGTAACAAATGAAGGTTTAGGCTTTTTACTGTATACAACATATGCATGAGTGATAATTGTTACTGTCTGGAGTTCTGTTTATTTAGATGTGCCTTCTTATATAATTAAATGTAATAGAAAACTTCTTGCACTTGATTAAGTTCTATATATCTAAAATACAAATCTTAGTAGGCATCTACATTTTTGTTCCTTTGTTTATTAAAGTACTAGGTTGCTTGATGCCATCCCTGATTGCTTTTTTTCAAGGTGACTTTGGAAATACAAGGAATAGTAAGAAAGGTTTTGGCAGGTGTACTTTGAAGAACCATTCACTTTCTCCTTGAGTAAACTTTGTAGTTTTCAATCAGTAACAATCTTTGTGCTCTTGGGGGAGAATTTGTGGTAGCAAAGTAAAATTAAAGCTTTTTTTTTTTTTTTAAGGAAAATCTCTAAAGAGAGTGAGCATTTAATATTAGTAAGTTAAGCCTTATAAGTTATAATAATAGATCCCTGACAATCTTTTGCAACAATTTAGTATTTTTGAAAATAAGAGTAATATAAAATATATTAGTGGAAATAGTCTCCCTGTTAAGGATACCCTGGATTCTAGAATGATAAAAAGCATGCTTGCTTGTTTCTCCTCCTCTCTGTAACTGAATTTAATCCAGTGGAGCATAATTGCATAATATGCAAATATGCATAATAATAAAATTGATAAATGCATTCTAATGTTAAAAATACATGTGTACTACTAATTGTGTAAAGTAATAATGCCTTCTTAGTTTGCATTGTAGGATGCTTTCATAGGGGAAGTACTAAGAAACATAAAGACATGGCAATTCAGATTCTGGTGTCTTCAGTAAAGTTTAGTGTTTTATATATACATATATTTCCTATAAATAGTGTGTAACATACTAGAGGGCTAGTTTTATAATTATTTGTAGTAGGTGCAGGCACTTATTCTGGGTGCCATGAATAAGGTATTCAAAAAAGTTTCCTCTCTTTACAGGAGAGTTGTAACACTCCACAGTATCAATATCTGTCATGTAATGCAGACCAGGCATGAAAAGAGATTTGCTTGATCACTTTTCTCTGTGCTTTGCAAACAACATATTAACAATAAATTTTTATGATTTTACTGTGTCACAGTAGATAGAGGCAGGAAAATTGTCCTGTTAACTTAGTGGGTTTCAACCCTTTGAGCTGACATATAGATATATTTAGTTAAACTACGTTAGTAGTTTTGGTGGTTTTTTTGTAGTTAAATTACAACTAAACTATGAATGCGAAGATCTTGATAAAACTGATATAACAATACAGAGGAGGAACACTTCTGGTTTTTATTCTGTTTAAAGTTGAAAGTCACAATTATGTCTCACCTTTGCTTGTCTATTTCCCTTAATAAATCCAGATTTTATTGTCACAGATTGCAAGTGTATGCTATGTGTGACATTTTACAATTGCCATATTTACCTTTACTGGGATGTTTGGGGTTACTGCACTAATTGTGTGAAATAGCATGCAAATGGCCAATTTCAGGAATGAGGCTGGTAAATTCTCGTTTTATTGGTATTAATGCTGCAGATGGCTTCACTGAAGATAGCAATATAAATTTAATTGAAATGTAGGCACAGTAGGCGTTCTGCAGCCTGAGAGCGTTGAACTTGGGTTAAAAATAGACAGCCAGCTATGGCTCTTTGGGGTATATTGTACACTCTGAAATAGGAGTATCGAAGGATTGCTCAATTCATGTAGGCAGGACCTTAAACATCCCTCATGCTCTTAAGGTTGGTATTGCAAAACTGTCTTATAAAAGAAATTCTCTCTGCTTTTATTATCTGCAAAGCTCCATAACTATTAAGTTTATTGGTCTGAATACCTTTTTGCACAATTACAAGTAAATTTAACAGGCAGTGGTTTTGCTACTGGTGTTAATGAAGACAGCAGCTTGGTACTGCTAGAGTCATCTGAGAGGAGCCTGAAAGCTTTTGTCTCAACTACAAATGACCATTAAAAAAAGCACACGACATTTCCACTTGGGGTAGCCATGGGACTCTGCCTGATGTCAGCCTGAATAAATGTAACTTTCTACACTCACTCATAAAGCTGAAAATAGAAGCACCATCTTTCTCAGCACTAACTGTTCATAGCTGTTTATAACAACTGTTTATAACAACTGTCCAAGTGCGCTGCTCTAGATAAACTTGCTACGCAACATATAACATAAAGGACTGAAATTAAGGGTTGAAATGAGCAGGTATCTGGAATTTCTGTTTTTATATCTGAACGACATGTATATAGTTTGCCAGCTAAAACAGAAAAAAAAAAATACTGAACTGTTCTCTGGGCTTCTCTTTCATTGCTTTCCATAGTTTTTGGACAACCCTAAGCTAGGACACTTCTCATTTCTTCTGATGAATCAGTGTCAGCAGTGAATTGTAATGATGGTGCAGGGCCTCTTAGGCAAGAGAAGTCTCCGGATTGCCAGTTACCCTTGCTTTGCTTTGGCACTGTGATGCTCAGCAGTACTGATACTCTTCAGCCCTTTCACTGTTCGGTCATTAGAGAAAATTCTTCGGACAGCAATCTACCTTTGTAGATTAAAAAATAGGTAGGCATACTAAGTGCAGAGGAAGATAACTCGGAATTGTTTCCCCTCCAATTGCAAATAGTCTTCTAAAAATGGAACCAGTTTATGGTCATTTGATGGACATCAGCAATATGAATAATGTATCTTGCCAGGCTGAAGAACATTTTTCTCCTCAATGAAGGCAAAGGACTATTTCAAACAAAAACAAAACAAAAAAAATCATGTTTTTTGAAGCAACTGACTTTATTCTGGAGAGCTAGAGAAGAAGAAGGCAAAAAGACACAAAAAAGGGCAGACATGATTACGAAGTCCAAAATCAGCCTTTACAATGTGCCCATTATGCTTATTCTCTGTCTTCAATCAGACTGAAGGTTTTTGATTCCATAATTACCTCTGTCTCAGAAGTGTGCCATCTTCCAGATACTAATTTTAATTAGTTTAATTAATATATGTACTCTGATACTCCAAGATTCAAGGCCAGGAAGGCACAGGGGAAGAGGGGCAGCTGAACAATTATTTTAGGGAGGTAGTCAGCAGGCACAAGAGCCTTCTTACACCTGTGTCAACAGGTGCCCTGTATTGATACTGAATTTCTGTTTATGCTGCTCTTTCATTATTTGCATGAGCCCTTATGAGATACCACAGGACATTTTTATCTGCTGTGCAAGATAAAATCCACATGGTGATGTTGAGAACTGCAGAAACCTAATGAAAGTTTTAATATAGTTTTGTTGAAAATATAATCTTATCAGTCATATTAGAATCATAGATGGCTGTTCTATGAAACCCAAATGACAGCTTGTTTCATTCACATTGGTCAGGGAGGGAGCTATTCGATACTTTCATTTCTGCAGGTCTTCACTTCCAAAACACTTCATTAATGGTGATTGATTCAAGGTCTTGCAAGCCGGGCAGTGCTACAGGTGTCATAAACTGATTAGTCGAGACACCAGGAATAGGAGGCCACTTAATATAGAAAATAAGTTATATTTATTTGGGAATGAAAATAGAGAGTCAAACTGTATTTACCTATTTATACCAGTAAAATACTCTGTATGACACAGCTGGTTGAGGTCAAGAGGCTCAGGAGGTAG